AAGGCAGTGATTTCAATTTACTCTGATCAATAATTAAATTCACAATAAAATTCTATACAAATAATAGTCAAATCTCGCCACATCAGATTTATGGTTCCAGCTAAAAAAAATTCGTTATGACAAGAAATCTGCTGGTGATTGGCAAAAAATTTTGAAGCATTATAACTTAGTAATTTATGATTTATTATTATCATATTTGATTTTTAGTATTATGTTTAAAAAATATATTGAAAGACAATTATTTATAATAAGTAAACATAAGATTGAATAAATAACTAGGTGAATGCTTTATAACAGTGACTTTGTCACTGGTGTTACTTGTTATTTGCTGTTTTAAAGTCTCTATTCAAATAAAAGTTACTATTTGAAGAAAAATTTCTGGCCTTCAGCAAAGTTGAATGATTTTAATATTGTTATTTAATCACCAATAAAATAATTGAATCATGGAAAATATCTCAGACAATGGAGAAACAAAGATTCTGATGTAACAGACCTTTAATTCTCAGATTAAATTCAAACAAAAGAATTTAAACTATTGGATCACTTTAGAAATAACTTGAAAATAATTCTACACAGAAAGTTCAAGTAATACATTTAATTAGGATAAATTAGGAATAATAAATAATATTGTCCTTATCTTTGTCCTTGTTATTGACTTGAATATTGTATTTTCATAATGATAATAAATCTATCCCTAACAATGAATCCATACCAAATCCCATGCATAATCATTTTTTCTCTTATTTTATATTTGTCCATTTTTTTTATTTCTTTTCTTTTCTTTTAGTGAGGTGATATTTAATGAATTTTATTTAATAGTTTTGGGAACACACCTGATTTGAGTATGGAATAACAGCTAAGGAAAGCAACCACTAAGAAACGTGATCAGTAGTGTAAAATCTAAAAAAGATATTGTTTAGTACAAGGAATTGTTTAATGATAGTGAAAGATAGTTTTGAGAGTAAAAACATAAATATACATGCTAGAAATTGTTGTTACGATTTAGTATAAATAAATTAGAAGAAATTGTATTAACGTTGTTATGAATAAAAGATTGAGATTTACTGAGGCGCGAATTTCGATCTCACATTATATAATTCAGATTCTAGAAATCTGTTTTTAATTGCAATTGAATATTTCTAACAAATGGTAGAATGGGAATTATAATTATTATCCAAATATTTTTTGAATATTGTACCATAATTTGGTGGAATCCCTTCAGAGCCTATAAATTCAGTTTCAATTGTTTTAATCATAATGTCAAGCTGTAATTTAAAATGAGATATTGATAAATGTTCTAACTGAAATGTATTGATTAATTTCTTTAAAATATTTGTTAAATCAGCAAG